CAAATCCAGAAAAAGAAGCTAAAATAACTTTTATCGAAAAATCTAGAATACAAAACGACGATTTCATTGGTGGTCCGACGATGCGCCTTTAAATAAATTCCAGGCCGCGAGGTTCATCCCCATTGGACAAGAATTTGATCACATTATCGTATTTTCCGACTTGTTTGGGGAAAAATAACTGAAAAATCGACGAAAATCAATCAGTGAAAAGCAATTAAAATATTATTTGGTTACGGTAGCTTTCGTTGTGGAACCTTCGATAAAGTTAATCTTGCAACAATCGCTTCATCATCATTTTTGGTGGCGTTGCTGAGTCCTTCTTTTTCCCACGCCGAGCAGCCTTATGATTCGAGGTGATCCATGCTAGTTTTACCATTCGAGTGCGCTTCTTAATTCTAGTTTTATGGGGCACATCTCCTTTCTCCATTATATGAGCAGTCACATAGCGTTTCTTCCTCAAAGCTACTTTAATGGAAGCAGGAACTGATGGAATCACACTGGAGAGAAGATATTTGAGACCGAAGACGAGGTTCTGAAAGAATACAAGAAAAGTATTTGATAATTTTTTTTGAAAATAAATAGACAAACCTGGAAAACTATAACAATAATTAAGCGATTCTGAACCGTACAATACTCTCCATCGGCAAAGAATGTCGAGCAGAAACCCGAGGTGAATGCAACAATGAAAGCATTCGTGAAAACTGCGCAGTACTGTAGGAAAGTGAGAATTGGAAGCCATATTCCGATTCCTAAAAATAAAATTATTGTTTTCTACAGTAATCCCAATGGAAATTACCATTTGTAATCAATGGAATCGGCTTCCGATTGAACCAAATCAAACGATCGCGTCGATTCGCATATCCACAAAACCAATGATTAGAGCAAGAAGTGGTGAGAGAGGGAATAGACTTGCAAACATCATGGTGGTCCCGAACATTATAATTTTCTCATTCATCTCCCATAAAACGAAGTCTCCAGCACTTGGCTTCAACCATTCTCTGCAAGCTCAAGTCAATTATTCCCTCCTCTTATCTTTCGCAACAAGTGGCGCCTCTTATACACCCTCTCCACCTTCCTACTCCAGTGGTCTCGTGGTGTAGTGGTTATCACATCTGTCTAACACACAGAAGGTCGGTGGTTCGAGCCCGCCCGAGATCAGTTTCGTTTTTCTAATTTTTTACCTCACTAAAACATTGGCCTGGTCATCTTCTTCAGCTTCAACCCGTTTTGCTTCAGTTCTGCTTGTGTACATTCGAAGACGGAATAGTTTTACAAAGTATCTGGAATTGTGAGACTGAAAATGCTTCTCTCCTTTTTTTCATACGGTATCACAACATCTTTCAAAAACTTGGGAACCGGTTTAATCAAAGTGTGGGTTAGCAACTGAAGTGCCAGCAAAGAGCTACACGTATCGTCTAGACAAGTGTCTTTGAATTCCTCTCCAAGTCCAAAAAGTCCATGCGGTTGCAGACCCTGCAAAGATAACGTATTTTACGGTATCAAACCATCAAGCTCAATTATCTCGGTTGCTTTGAGAGATATCAAAAATTTGTCAACTGATAAAATATTGGTGGCTTTATGATAAAAATTTTATCAGCTGCCAACTTTTTGATATCTTTCACAGGAATCGAGATAATTGGGCTTAAAGTTGGCGTTTTGGGTGGGCTGCTATTAGAGCTAACTTACATGACTTTCCGGTCTTACAAATGCCACGTAGAACAGGGAAGTATAGGTGTTGACCATTTGAAAAGCGAATATCTTCACAATCAAACTATTATTATGCTCCGACTCCGTCCGATGATTCTCCCATGTGTTGAAACGTGCCACTAGGTTACTGTAGACCGCGCCAAGACCCATTGCAGATAAAGTGTTTAGAACCGAAGGGAGGAATGCGGCAGAGAGCCAACAATTAAAAGTGTACTCTTTGTTGCATTGAAAATTGTAAACCATCCAAATTTTGAGAAGAGTTACCAGCATGAGAGATATGATTACTAGAAGCATGGAAAACGAGACAAAGAAAAATGATCCAATCATTTTAAGATAGCGGAATATGGCTGGAGAAATCCAAATATCTTCCCCGGTAATCGGGTCCTCTTTCATTTTGGATCCTCGAAATTCGGGACGATCCGGTTCGATAGCATGGAAATCGTCGGAATTCCACTGATAGGATAGCACAGAGTTGTTACGTTTCCAGATTTGCACAAAGACACTTCCTGAATTAAAAAATTTCGGATTTTTAAAATTTAATAGTTAAATACCCCAAATCGACATGAATACTGCAAAAAATGCATTCATTTTTGTATCGAACGAACTCATAAACCATTGGGTGAGCATTGAGAAAAATAATGTTACTCTGAAATATTCGTTCAATTTGAGCAACTACAGAAGTACTTAAACTTTGTTTGTTTGATATGAAAATTTTGAAAAAGTATAAAATAAGTCAGGATCTTCAATTTTGTAGTTGACAAAATTTTTATAAATATTTCTAGAAGAGATATCGGGTTTGGAAGAGAAGAGCTTTTTGTCTTCCCAGCAATAGAAGCTCCCCAAACAGTCAGCCTTGAGCCCTTATTCTTTACCTTAACTTTGAGCTCAATTATCCCGAGTCCTGTGAATGATATCAGAATTTTGTCAACTGATAAAACACTGATTATGTTATTCCCAACATTTTATTAGTTGACACATTTTTAATATCTATCATATTAACCGAGATAATTGAGCTCAAAGTGCAAGTGAGTGGGCTTCCATTACAGGAATTACGGTAGGTAGGGTTTGGCTCTGGATCCATAACTTTCAAAAAAATAATCCAAACTAAATCGAAATTTCAAACAATATGTGGTTAGACTTGCTTCCTACCTCCTACAATTTTCAGATCATAGCAACAAACTTTCCGTCCATTTTCATACGTTCCAATCTGTCACTTACCCATTCCTCATTCCACATGCGACATTTTCAGTTTTTCCTTTAAAATTCACCACTTTGCAATGATTCCAATCCAGTGGAGAACTACTGATACTGTAACTTCCTTCATTTATTTTTAATTTTCTACAGTGGCCCAAACCTATCAATGAAACCGTAAATAAAAACAATGAATCCAAATATAACAGCTGGCCACAAAAGTGTAATAAATGTTCCCTGCCAGGCAAAATAATACGCGATTTGTTCACCAAAATAGTCGCGTATCTTGTTTAGGGGTTGGAATTTGTACCATCTGAAAGTACAGTAATATTTTGGTCATTAAAAAAAATCTCACCGCTCCCAAGCATTGCTCAGACTCTTTCTAGGATCGTGCTCAATTTCCGAAATAAACTCATTGTAAGTTTTCAAACTTCCATTCTGCATTTCCTTGAAGTATGGCTCCTCCTGAAATAGTGGATTTATGTAGAAATTCCGGCAAAAATATATCAATTTTGCCCAGACAAATCGAAAAATGTTCAACTACTTTTTGAGGACTTCAAATTTGATTGTTATTTTTCCACTGAAAACGGTGATTCATACCTTGCTAGGTGCATGTAACACAAACGCTTCTTCATAAACATCTCTCATCAGCAACCATGTCAATCCTTTTCGTCTCAATTGCTCATCAGAAGTTATCGAGGAAGAGGGATCTTGTTCAGTGTCTTGTGAATCTCCCAACCTCTCATTCTTCAAATCTTTGCTTATGTCGATTTTGGTCAATATCTGAAACTGTTCTGCCATTTGCATTGAACATCATTACTTTAGAGTGCTTTGACTAGAAAGATTTCTTGTTTTAATCCAATTTATCTCGGTTACGGTTAGAGGTATCAAAAAGCAGTCAACTGATAAAATGCTTTTGATATTATGATAAATATTTTGTCAGTCGAACACTTTTTGGTATGTTTCACAGGAACCGAGATAAATTGGGTGCAAGTTGACTTAACCCCTTTCACGATACCTGCAATCTTGAGTCAAGGATTCAGACAAACGTCCAGTTTTTTCAAACAAAACAAAACATCAAACAAAATTAAACATATAAAATGGGTTACCTGATAAGTCAGACACCCCCTTTGCGCAGGTGTAAAAAAAGATTTTTCATCGTGATAATTCACAAAAAGTGAACCATGTTTCCTTTGAAAAGGTGCATTTATAAAACGGACTGTGTCATCGGTCACAAAGATTTTCGATAGAGGAACACAACAGGATGGCATTCCCGGCTTCACTTCACACTGAAAAAATATCATTTTGAACCGGGCGACATCAACTTTGCCCCAATATATATCGGCTCCTATTAAATACAAACTTTATTACATTTTTATGGGTATATACATTTTTCTAAAAATCTAGAAAATATTGTGTAAAATACTCTAAAAATGGATGAATTTAAGCGATTTCGAGCGGAGCTTTCGCGATTTAAAGTTTCGGGTCAGAGACGCAGTATGTCTCGTTTCTCTGCGTCTCGCACCTAAAAATCTTCATAAGACCATAACTGGACTTAAAATGGTCGTAGGAGATAGGCTCTTCTTGGTTAGAGCCTAGAATTTTGTATTCTTTTTTTCAGAATCTACGAAATGTAGGAAACTTTTTAAAAAGGTTTTGTCGGTTGATCTATTTTTTGTACCTATCACAGGGGCGGAGATAAATTGGAGCACAGTTGGAAGTATGGAGGAACAACACCGCACACTGTTAACTTTTGTCTAATTTATCTTGATTCCTGTAAAAGGTATCAAAATGTCGTCAACTAATAAAATATTGCTTATATTATGATACAATTTTTAAGCCAAAGATAACGGACCGTCTTTGTAATCTTTGAACTTCCTAATCCATTTTCCCATACTCACATCTTTCAACGGAAAACACATTTGAGTCGACTCTGCTTCCCTGGACAACCGATGAAAAGGTGTGGAGATTAGCGTGAAGTGAGTCTGACCGGATTGTTGATGCCGTATGATAAGCCCCTCTTTCTGAATAGCCCTCTCGAAGAAATCCCGATATTTTCCCTTTGATTGTGACTCAGCCGCATTGTGAACGAGCACAAAGTCAATCGATATTCGAAATGGGAAATATGGATAATCGACTTCAGTGGTGGCTGCGAGCATACGATACTCGCGAAGCGGCACCTGAAAAATGAGATGAAATGAATAGAGAGAAGAATATTTAGATTCAAAATATTTGAAATCATTGAAGCAAGAAAAGCTCATGTGCTTCTAAAAATCCAAACTACAAACATATGTTGATAAACAAGAAAAAAAACTTTAGCTGTGGTCTCTGATCAAATGAAAAAAAACCTGGAGCTTTAAAATACGAAAGACTGCGAATCAAATACTTTTCTCCTGTTCAATATGATTATCTTGACATAAATCAATCTAGATTTTTTTATTCTGATTAACTTTTCAGGTTTTTAGTTTTTTTAGAGTGGCTAGTTAGTCATGTATTCTGATTCTAGAATAACTAATGACTCTCTATTTTTGGATTTCATTAGAAAAACAAATACGACTTCTTAAGTTAATTTTTTAGCTTAAACGGTAGCTCAAATTCTACAAATTGATTTTTTAAAAATGTAGTCCGAAATTTCTCAAAAATTCCAGAAAACTCTAAAGTTTAGAGTCTCGAACACGCAATTCAGAATGTTCCAATTTGTCTGAAAATTTGGGATTATACATAACACAAATAGGGCTTCATTTTTGTAGTTGACAACTTTTTTGTGCAAACGCGCTCAAGCGAGATATGACGTCTGGAAGTGACAGAGGTACCAGTGAAGCCACCTCCCCCCCCCTTTATACTCGCACCGGCTCTTGCCCGCCAGCTTACACATGGCATATCTCGCTTCATTGGATTTTTATAAAAAAGTTGTCAATTACAAAAATGATGCTCTACTTCTGTTTGGTATACTCTGAAACTTTCAGAAAAATCGAATAATTCTAGAATACACTTTCCGGACTTTGAAGGTGACTGTCCTTAGCTGAGAATTTCGAAATCTAATTTCGTCGTTTCAGAGTAAAAGGTTATTTTTCAACAAAAAAAAATCAATGTATTATGCAACCTGATAACTCCAAAAAACTAGAAGCCATATGTTCTATAAAATATTCTGATCTCTCTCATTTTACTATTCAACCGGAATAATATCACCAGGCTTAACACATTTTTTCAGCCGTCACTCTTCTATTTATTTCCGTTACCCCTAGCTACCAGAATTTTCACAACTATAATTAAAATGGGTTTTCATCAACAATTTTTAAATTTCAAACTCACATCATATCGTTGAATTCCATGCTCCGGATCTCCACGAGCCATCTTGTCAGCAAAAATATGAATGGAATTAGGTTCTCATCCAGTACCCCTTTTCTTTCCAGAAAGCGGATTAAATGAGAGACGCTGGAAAACTAGGAGACGCAGAGAAAAGGTAAAATAGTCCCGTGTTGTTGTTGATTAAATGTACCCTGATTGTCATAGAAACGGAAGCAAGAGAAAACGGAAAAAAAGAGGGTGAAATGTGTATAGAAGAACCTGGGGTGGGAAAATGGAAAAAAGCTGTTATGGCAAATGAAAAGAAGCTGGAGAAAAATTGAAGTAAAAATAGTGAACTTATAAGTCTTCAAAAAGTAGTTCAGAATTTTTAGATTTTTCTGAAAATTGCAGAATAAACCAAACCAAAATAGAGCCAATTTTGTAGTTGACAACGTTTTTGTAAAAGCTCTACAAGATAAGATACACCGCTTTGCCAGTTGACCAATTTATCTTTCGAAAAAACCGAGCTCATACCTGACAATGTGGGGCGCTTCTATTAGAGGATTTATGGAAAATTTGAAGTCTTCAAAAGTAGTACAGAATTTTTCGATTTTCCTGAAAACTTTAAAGTATACCAAACAAAAATTGAGCTTTATTTTTATAGTTGAAAACTTTTTATATAAGGTCATCCAGATGAGATATACCGCTAAAAATGAACCAGGGTCTGAACACTTCTAGAAATATGACAACTATCAAAATCCATCGGATCAAATTGGCAAAATTTTCAGCTTTATCAAGAAATCATCGTCTTTAGTCAAGAATGTGAGGTGATCTAACAATTTGGAAATACAGTAATCCTCAAAAAAATTTTCTGAATTTTATAAATATTCTATACAACCTGCCATGTCTTCTGCCAACATTTTTCCCCAGGAGACCTCTTTTGACACTTTGTTATTCTATACATTTTTCTCGCCTATTCTCACAATTCTCGCCTATTCTCACAAAAAGCAAAAAAGAAAAAAAGAAAGCACTAGGCGGGAGTCGAACCAAAAACCTTCTGCTTCATAGCTGACACCGTATACCACTGGGCCACCCATGCACTATGAAAATAAGGTGAGAATGGAATTATAATATGGCGCACGCGTAAAAAACTCAAAAAATATAAATTATTTTTATAAATTAATTATTTTTCAGCGAAAGAAAATTTCACGTTTTGGAAAAAACTTTTTTTCAAAGTGAATAAATGGACCGAAGAGATAAGAATCTCCCAGAATTTTTTGCATATAAGGGAAGAGAGAAACAGTGAGAATCAGTCAGTCCCCAAATGAGAACTGGTATCCAGCTGGAAGGAGCTGGAGCTCTGGGATCCAGAGCTGTGGGAGCTGGAGCTCTGGGATCTGGGTGCTGGAGCCGTTGGAATCGGAGAATCGGAGCTGGTGGAGGTGGAATCGGAGATGGTCAGGGTGAAATCGGAGGATCGGAGCTGGTGGAGATGGATTCGGAGGATCGGAGCCAGTGAAAATGGATTCGGATGATCGGAGCTGGTGGAAGTGTAATCGGAGATGGTTAAGGTGGAATTGGATAATCGGAGCTGGTGGAGGTGGAATCGGAGATGGTCAAGGTGGAATCGGAGATGGTCAAGGTGGAATCGGAGGATCGGAGCTGGTGGAGGTGGAATCGGAGATGGTCAAGGTGGAATCGGAGGATCGGAGCTGGTGGAGGTGGAATCGGAGATGGTCAAGGTGGAATCGGAGGATCGGAGCTGGTGGAGGTGGAATCGGAGATGGACAAGGTGGAATCGGAGGATCGGAGCTGGTCAAGGTGGAATCGGAGATGGTCAAGGTGGAATCTGAGGATCAGAGCTGGTGGAGGTGGAATCGGAGATGGTCAAGGTGGAATCGGAGGATCGGAGCTGGTGGAGGTGGAATCGGAGATGGTCAAGGTGGAATCGGAGATGGACAAGGTGGAATCGGAGGATCGGAGCTGGTGGAGGTGGAATCGGAGATGGTCAAGGTGGAATCGGAGGATCGGAGCTGGTGGAGGTGGAATCGGAGATGGTCAAGGTGGAATCGGAGGATCGGAGCTGGTGGAGGTGGAATCGGAGATGGTCAAGGTGGAATCGGAGGATCGGAGCTGGTGAAGGTGGAATCGGAGATGGTCAAGGTGGAATCGGAGATGGACAAGGTGGAATCGGAGGATCGGAGCTGGTGGAGGTGGAATCGGAGATGGTCAAGGTGGAATCGGAGGATCGGAGCTGGTGGAGGTGGAATCGGAGATGGTCAAGGTGAAATCGGAGGATCGGAGCTGGTGGAGATGGAATCGGAGATGGTCAAGGTGGAATCGGACGATCGGAGCTGGTGGAGGTGGAATCGGAGATGGTCGATTTGGAATCGGACGATCGGAGCTGGTGGAGGTGGAATCGGACGATCGGAGCTGGTGGAGGTGGAATCGCAGCTGGTCGAGGTGGATTCGGAAAATATAATGGATTCAACATCTCTGCTCAATTAATCAACCCAAGTTACGTTATGTTGCGGATTTTCATGTTAGAGAAATAGAATTGGACATTCAATCCCTTCGGAATACTTTTCCGAATGGTTGGAAGCATTTCAATAACTTTTCCCGAGAAGAAGCAGAAGAGAATGACGTCCTGTCAGCTCAGAATGTTTCGAAAGCTTTTCTGCCTGATGTTACACATCTCCGATTGGAACGTGTCCCTTGTCAAGAGCATTTTTCCCTTCAACTCATCGGAATGGGAAATTTGAATTGGTTGGATATCCAGTCTCCTCGCAATCTGAACGTTGATGACCTCTTGACATTGAATTCTGAAAGAATTTTCCTGCATACAGATCCAATGTCACTTCGTGACCTGAATCGTTTCTTCAAATTGTGGAAGAAGGGATCTAATCCGAAATTGGAGAAATTGATCATTTATTGGAGAACGGAAACCATCCCAGACTGGAAAGTCTTGCTCACAGGATTGAAAGCAAAACGAAAAAGAAATACAAGAAAAAAGAAGTTGAAGATCAAAAATTGTCGTGAGGTGTACACTCAGGATTGTCTACTCTTTTATTTCGAAAAATTCCTATTCAATGTTCAAGGCTCTTTGCTCACCGATATCAAATGTTATAATGACAATGAAGAAACAACTGCAGATAGATGTGCATTTGGGATTAATTGTTATCAATTTTGAGTTGAATATGCACAAAAACGACTAAAAGATGACGAGCTTGAATGGTCTTCCCCTCAGTGTAAAAGTGATATATAACAATTATGAGATTCCCGGAGTCAGAGAAATATTATCAGCTCGGACAAATCAAGAAAAGACTGTTGGAGAATGAATTCAAGATCTCTGCTTCATTTCTGAACCGAAGTTATGTTATATTGCGAAGTTTGATGTTAGAGAAATAGGATTAGACACACAAACCCTTCGGAATACTTTTTCACAAATTAGAAGAGCTTCTGTAAAGTTTCCCGAAGCAGAAGCGAATGAGCATGACATCCTGTCGGCTCAAAATGTATTGAAGGTTTTTCAACTTGATTCTCAATATTTCGAATTGAAACGCTTCTTTTTTCAACATGATTTTTCTCTTCAACATATCGGAATGGGGAATTCGAGAACATTGTGGAAATCACCAAATTGTGTGTGTGTGTCCGTTTGTTCCCGTAACGTCTACCCTAGCGTCTACTCTACCCCGGCGGTCAGATCGCCATCGCCCACATGGACCAAATGGGAAAGACATTTCGTCAGTTCAGAACGTTGTGAGAGCTTTTTTACCGAACGTTAGGAAAATGAAATTGGATTGTGGCCGACTTCAGGAACATTTTTCCATTCAACACATTGGAATGACCAATTTAAAAGAATTGGAGATGTATGCTCCTCGCAATCTGAGAAATGAGGATGTATCCACATTCAATGTTAAAAAATGTTTGATTTCTACTGATAAAATCAGCCTTCGTGATTGGAATCGTTTTTTCAAACTGTGGATCAAAGGATTTAATCTAAGATTGGAGCATTTGATCATTGAGAGGAACGCCATACCAGAGTGGAATATCTTGCTGAATGGATTGAAAGCAGAAGAAACAGAAGGAGAAGGATCAACGAAGTTCATAGTTCGAAATTCTCGTGGAATCTGCGCTAAAATTGGATGTAAATTGCTCTATAGAGATGTGTTTCAGATGGAGTTTACTGTTTCAAAATAATTCTTGCTGATACAGTTTTATTGAAATCATCGTATCTTTCCCTTTTTCCTCTCTCATAATGTATGAGTCATACATTGTAAAGTCGCTCCTCTTTGAAAAACTGACTGTCCCATATTTCTGCCCCCCCTCCCTTGTATTTCACTCTCTTCGTTATATAATTTAAATTAAATGTTTCAAATAAATTGATAAAACCAAAACATTTTATTGGAGTTTAATAAATTTGTAATAAAATAGCTTGTTCATCATTGAGTACTGTTCCTTGGATATATCAATTTCCACATTATATCAATATTCCATCGTGATGATTTCCAATCACATCTACATCTGCAAACCACAAAAAGGCCAGATATTCAAAAAGGTTATAATTATGTAGCTGAAGAATTTAGCTATGTTAAAAAAAAACATAATATTAGGTTGGTAAAAAAGTTTCTTCTTTTTTTTGGCATAATTTTGGATCAGATTTTCCTTGAAGCGGAAAGGGCAAGATCAATGAAAGTAACGTCCAATAGCATTGATAATTGTCTGGTAACGCCCTGAAAGTTTCTTGATTCCGTTGGCCTAGAACGAAGAGGGCTGAGATTTAAAAAGTGGGCCAACTCTTTTTTTGTGTCATCTTTTCAACGGAAGTGTTTTCTATCAAGATGACGTTAAAAAGGCCCAAATGACTATTTATCCGAAAGGGCAAGGTCCGGAAAATACGGTGAGTGCAAAAGAATAGTTCAGCCAAACGACCTGAACTTTTGGTTGATCACTTTAGTCACGGATGATCGTAAGCCGGGAAAAATTTAATAATTTTGAAGTGGACGCAGATTTGATCTATTTATTATTAATAGATCAAATCAATGCGCGCTTTTTTCTCTCATCTTTTGAAAGTTTGATCATCAGCCAACGAAGTTCGGCGCGCTTTCTGATCGGTTCTTTGAACGATCATGCATTCACATCTGTACGTGACTTCGTGTGCATAAGATAAGCTTTTTCCACTTAAGACCCTATTTATTGATTGACCAATCGATAGTTGCCTCTCCTCAACAGAGATGAGTGAAATTTCTTCTTCATTAATTCGTCTCTCTCACTTTTGTTCAAGCGAGGAGGTCAAAAAGCGCGCCCCAGTAAATTTTTCAAAAATTCTCAATTCGCTGCCGAACTTCGTTGGCTGAGTATCAAAGTTTTAAACGATGAGCGAGAATACGCGCGTTGCAACCCTTAATTTTTAAGAAATAGATCATGATCTAGTTCAAACCCGTGTTCATTTTAAAATTATTAAATTTCTTCCGGCCTACGAGTTAGCTGGGGCGCTTTTTCTGACCCCCTCGCTTGAACCCAAGTGCTCTCTGATATTTTCTATTCTTTTTTTTCTATTTTTTTTTATTCCGATCATCTCGTGTGTTGTTCCAAGTCTTTCCTCATTTCGTCTATTCATTATTTTTTCATTAATCCCTCTACTTTTTTCAGGTATGACTACCCAGAGATTTCCCCTCCATCGCCTACCGGATGATCTCCGTTCAGAAGTCCTGAAAACAATGGACCTCCATGAAATGTGAGTTTATTTTTTTAAAAGTTTCGTATTTGTTGCATTCAACCTAATTCATTTCAGAATCGCCTACTCATTCGTTTCAAAGAAGGCCTATTCGATGGTTAAATCTCTTCGTATACCGATTGGGGATGTTGAAACAACACTGAAGGCATCGCCGGAAATAAAAATATCCATCGGTCTCATGTCGCTTAATTACGAGTTGAAAATCTACGAAAACGACCGAAGAAGGATGGAACTGAATAAAGTTCCTGTAAATGTGAAAGTTGAGTTAAAACGATCTTCGATTCTGGATCCGGAAACATCAACTATGTCAAATCAAGGAAAGAATATGGGAGAGTGGATTCAACATCTCTGCTCGATTTTCCAACACGTGATGCGTCTTCATATCGAATTTCTCATTGGAGATTTATGGAGATTAGACATCGAAACACTTCTGAACACTTTCCCAACACCCAGGAGTTACAGTATCGTATGCGACGAAAATGAATCAAACAAGTATAACATTCGATATGCTCGAAACGTGTTCAAAGCTTTTCCTGATGTTCAGTTTATCCTATTGTTTGATGTCCCATTTGATGGGAGACTATCTTTTCAACACTTCGGAAAGGTGAATAGAAAAGTTTTGGGTTTATATTTCGTTCCCAATCTGAAGCTTGAAGATCTTCTAACATTGAATGTTGAACGAATACACCAATATGATTATCAATGGTCGCTTCGTGATTTGAATCGTTTCTTCAAATTGTGGATGAAGGGATCCAATCCGAAGTTGAAGAAATATGAATTGTTTGCTCACGAAATGGGAATTTCTTGGGCGGACCAATGGAATGTTCTGGTGAAAGGATTACAAGCAGAAGAAGTGGTGGAAGCAGGACACACGGATGAAAATCGTGTAAAAAAGAAGTTCAGAATTCGAAAACATAGGGTTGGCGCTGAAATCGAAGTTGAATGGACGGCAACAACTATGGAGGTCAAATTCAATACTTTGAATTAATTCTTGATTTTATTTTGAATATTAATAATTTTTTGGTTTGCCATTGCAACATAAAATGATCATTTTCTTTGAAATTTAATTCTGACACAAAAAATCGATGCTGTGGAAAAACCACCGGTCCCCGCAACGAAAAACCGTAACCTAAACTTTCTGGAACTTTACTGATGCTTTTCGACAACTGTTGTGCTCTCCAAACAGGTCGGAAATTAAAAATGTTATGAATCTAAAAGATTGCCGATTCTATCTTCCACTGCACGCTCTCCCACAGAACAATTCCGAACTGCAAATTAATTTTTGATCTACAGAAAAAAAGTTTGGCGCGATCACAATTGCAGGTCTAAAACCTTAATTTCAGAATTTTTTATCTGATTTTGTGGAGGTCCAAGATGATTCAAATGATTCTTTAAAAATTAATGAGTGGTTATAGATTGATGTATAGTCGTTTTCCGGAAGAAAAAATGTCAAAAATTGTCATTTTTGAAAGTTTTTTACAGAAAAAATCTATCTCCTCTTTCAGTTTTTGACATTTCTAGGAGTTCTATAGCTCAAAAAAACCGCAATTATTTTCTCTACATTTTCTATGGACGAATTTTTAATTCGTCTGATAGAACTTTTTTTATAATCAAAAAACAACGCAAAAATGCTATTTTGTGCAATTCCATGAGGTTTTTGAATTATAAAAAAAGTTTTATCCGACGAATTAAAAATTCATCCATAGAAAATGTAGAGAAAATAATTGCGGTTTTTTTGAGCTATAGAACTCCTAGAAATGTCAAAAACTGAAAGAGAAGATAGATTTTTTCTGTAAAAAACTTTCAAAATGACCATTTTTGACATTTTTTTCTTCCGGAAAACGACCATACATGAATCTATAACCACTAATTAATTTTTAAAGAATTATTTGAATCATCTTGGAACTCCACAAAATCAGATGAAAAATTCTGAAATTATGGTTTTAGACCTGCAATTGTGATCGCGCCAAACTTTTTTTCTGTAGATCAAAAATTAATTTGCAGTTCGGAATTGTTCTGTGGGAGAGCGTGCACTGCTCCAATTTTTGTATACAAGCAATACTGCTATGTATAATGTTGCCGATATCGTGATAAAATGTTGCCGATATCGTGATAAACATTTTATTAGTTGACAACTTTTCGATATCTTTCAAAAGAAGTGAGATATATAGGCTCAAAGCATGTTCCATGGTTATGGATCCTTGTTTACTGATTTCATCTGTTCAAGTAACAATTGAGAAACATCCGCAGATAGTCTTGAAATTCGGTCCCATTTCTATCAATTTCGAGTTAACAGTGCCAATAAAACACGGACGTCATTTGGCTCTGCTTGATTTCCCATAACGAAACATCATATGTTGCCGAATTTAATATCGGGGAGTTAGAATTAGAGGTGGCTCCCTTCGTAATGTCGAAAATCGGCCTAAAAAGGTCAATAATTTCAATAATTTGCCAAAAGTTTGCAATTTCCGAATAGGCTCAAAATGTCAGACATCTCATGAAAAATCAAAACAATGAATTCCATTTTGTCTATAATTTCCAAAATTTGAAAAAATAGGACGCAAAACAATCTAAATATGTCTTGTTTTGCAATACTTCGTGAAATCAAGTCATATTGAAAAATTCGGAAATTGCAAATTATTGACGAAATTGCAAATCTAATATGGGGATTCATTCTTTTCATATTCATTCTAGCCAGCGAGAACTCATTGAAAAAATGAAAGATATTTCACTAAAATTACTAATTTTGACAATATTAAAGTGTGTTCCAAGCTCTTGAAGTCATAGTATTTTTTTTTATTTTCGAGTCTTCCAAAGGTTAAAAAAAATTCGGTGAAAAACGCTCGAAAAATGATGAAATGTCTCTAATAAGGGCGTTGACCTCTAAGCCCCGCCCACCTGCACGCAAAGTATAGTGGACGGCGGGACCCGGGAGATGTCGGTACAACTAGAACACCCCACTATATAATCGTCCTCGTTTATGGGGTCTTTCGGGGAACATCACTCAATCTCTTCTGAGTCGGCTGAGATCCTAAGGATGGTTGGTGGCTCAGCAGAGGTCGTGTGATAGGATCCCCCGAGATAACCGCGGGTACATCCCGGGAATTTTGTGAGTTCTGAACGGCCTGTGTTACAAAAAAAAAACTAGATCCGAAGTATAATTTTGGTAAAATGTTTAATTTCCAGCTTTTCGTCATCTTTTCGTCCGCTGTTCGTCCGTTTTTCGTCCGTTATTCGTTAGCCAGGTCCTGGGTCCTGGGTCGGTTGGAAAAATAGAATCTAGCACTGTACACCAAACCTCACTAACGAGAAAATCTCTCTGAATCTGTATAAACTGTCATGTCTTCTGCCAACAATTTTTCCCTGGAGATCTCTTTTGACACCTTGTTACATTCCCATCTGCATTTGACGTTGTACCTGCACCAGATATGCGTCTTCCACTCGAGACCCGTCTTTATTGATTAACCAATCGACACTGCCTCAATCTTCCCGACAAACTCAAAAATCTTATTTCCTATTTATCTGCTTGTCGTCACTCTATTCCATTAATTTCTACCTTTCCCTTGGTATGGCAGACTTACGATTTCCACTCCAACGTCTACCCAGCGATCTTCATTCAGAAGTTTTGAAAGCTATGGAGCTCCACGAAATGTGAGTTCATTTCGCTAATAGTTTTGTATCTTTTGCATTGAGCGTGTGTCGTTTCAGAATTTTCTACTCGTTGATATCGAAGAAGGCATGTTCCATGGTTATGGATCTTTGTTTACTGATTTCATCTGTTCAAGTAACAATTGAGAAACATCCGCAGATAGTCTTGAAATTCGGTCCCATTTCTATCAATTTCGAGTTAACAGTGCCCATAAAACACGGACGTCATTTGACAACCCTTGATGATGTTGGTGTTCGTTTTCATGTATCAATGGAGAATGATATAACTCACCGCTTCAAATATGTAGCATTTTTTGAGTCAAATGAAGAAATGAGTGTTGGAGAGTATATTCAACGGCTCTGCTTGATTTCCCATAACGAGACATCCTATGTTGCGGAATTTAATATTGGGGAGATAGAATTAGAGGTGGAATCCCTTCGTGACATCTTCCTGAAATTCAGAAACATTGCTATAAACTATTACCACGTTCGCCGTCGTCGCGATCGCGATCGCGAAGATGAACTAAATGAGCAAGACATTTTATCAGTTCAAAACGCCGTGAAAGCTTTTCTACCAAACGTTAGACAGCTGAAATTGGATAGTGTCCCACTTGGAGAGAACCTTTCCCTTCAACACATTGGAATGGCGAATTTAGAAGAGTTGAAGATTATGACACCCCGCACTCTGAAGTTGGATGATCTTTTAACGCTCAATGTTGAAAATTGTGGTATTGTTTCTGATGAAATCACTCTTCGCGATTTGAATCGTTTTTTCAAATTGTGGATGCAGGGATCCGACCCAAAATTGAGGAATATGTCCATTTGGTGGAAAACGGCAATCATCATAGACTGGAATGTCTTGCTGAAAGGATTGAAAGCAAAGGAAGAAGCAGGAGAAGAAGGATCAAAGAAGTTCATAATTCAAAATTCTCATCGGGTTCACGCTGAAATTGAAAACGATATGGGAGAAAATAAACTTGCATTTTCTGTCTTCGACTAATTATTGCAAAAAAGATTTTTAATGTACCTGAATAAATTTTGAATATGATTTTTTGTTCACTTTTGCTACATAAATTGAACACAAGTGAAACACAGTAGGGTGTTAATCGGAATCACAGAACACCGTTTATCAAAAAAAAAACGTCCATCCGGAACAAAGAAATTGATTTTTAAAAAAACCACCTATAATTTCTACACAGTTCTTGTACCGTGGCAATTCGAAATAAAACAGAAACCCGAACAGATTACAGTATGCCTAATCGCCTTTAATTAAACGAAAAAGTTTCCTTTAACTTGTGCAATATGTCATGCCGTCGGCCAATATTTTCCTAGGAGATCACATTTGACACCTCGTTACTCTCTGCATCACCACCTGCTCTCGCCGTCGTACCTGTATTGGATAAACGTCTTCCACTCGAGATGCGATTCTGTTGATTGACCAATCGATAGGGTCCTCTCTTCCTTCTGTTCTATAGACTCGATATTCCCATTTTCTATTTCATCCAGTTTGTCGCCCACTGTTCCTTCTCATAATTAGTCATTCTGGTTTATCAATTTGTTCTTTTTCCAGATATGACCACTCTACGATTCCCCTTCCTATGTCTACCCAATGATCTCTGTTCAAAGGTTCTAAAAACTATGGATCCACATGAAATGTGAGTTTATTTCCTCGAAAGTTTTGTGTCCATTTCATTGAGCTTAGGTATGTCATTTCAGTATTATCTACTCATTGCTATCAAAGAAGGCACGTTCCATGTTTAAATCTCTTCGTTTGCCGATTTCATCGGTTCAAGTTACAATGGAGAAACGTCCACTGATAGTTTTCCAATTCAGTTCCAATTCTATCATTGTGAGGTTGAGAGTGTGAAAAGAATCAATTGATCAAAAGACAAGACTGGATGATGATTTTGTCCGTTTTTATGTACCTGAATCAACGAGTCTTTTTCGAGAAGATTTACCAATTATTTGGTCCAAACACGGAAAGAGTTTGGGAGAACAACGCCTTTGCTACAAGACCAACCAAGACCAAGATTTTCCTCGTCAAGAGGAACCAAATGAGCAAGACAATTTGTCAGTTCAAAACGTTGTGAGAGCTTTTCTTCCAAACGCTGAGAAACTGACATTGATTCGTGTCCCTCTTCGAGGTAACTTTTCCATTCAACACATCGGCATGGCGAATTTGAAAGAGTTGCAGTTATATTTTCAAAGCAATCTGAGAGTTGATGACCTTTTTACATTCAATGTCGAAATTTGTCTTGTTGCTTTTCATGGAACCACTTTTCGAGATTTGGATCGTTTCTTTAAATTGTGGAAGAAGGGATCTAATCCAAAGTTGAAAGAATTGATCATATGGTGCTCGGAAAGGACCCCAGACTACAAAGCCTTGTTGAAAGGATTAAAATCAAAGGAAAAAGAAACAGAAAAAGAACGATTGAAGAAATTCATAATTAAAACTTCTCGTGGGATTTGCGCTGAAATTAAAACCTATCATTTTGTCGAAATTGTTAAACTTACATTTTCTGTTGTCAGGGTGGAACTTTATTTCTTTACTTCTCCACGACTCTTTGGTAATCACTGTATAAAAGCGGTGGTTATCAGGGAGTCGGGGAGAAGGTTTTGCCCTGCAACTCTTATCTTCATTCTGTCTTACTTTTTAAATGTTTTTAAATAAATGAACTTCACCCAATTATGGGATGTTATTTAACCGCTACGCAAGAAAATGAAACCACCTGAACCTTATGGGTCACCTCTATGGGTCCCAAAGATTTTTAAGGTTTATACTGTTTCCAAATAATTTACATAAAATGTGTTCGAAAATCACTTGGAATGTTTATTGTACCTGAATAAAGTTTTAATATAATTTTTTTCTTCACGATTGCTACATAAATGGAGCACTAGGGCGGCACAGTACTTGCAGTCAGCGGACATACCAGATATCGTTTCAGACCAGCCTGTTTGCAGTGCATACAACGCGAGTTCGTCGCTTGGGTCCTCATTTTGTTTCAAACCAGCAAACTCCGAAAGTTTAATAGTTATGTACGGTATTCTACCGTGTTTTCTCTTTTAAAATCCTCTTTCCAAGTCTAAAGGAGAGAAATCTCCCCCGAACACACGTGCAAGAGGTGTGGATTACTGTATCCGCGCGCGAAACTGTGTGCGCGCCAAAACGCGTCTCCTCTCTCGGCAAATTCTCATCGTTTTCTTTAGTTTTCGCTGGTGTTCGCTCACGATTGATGACGACCCGTTAAAGTGTGGCTCACTGGTTTTAAAGGTTTTATAGTGGTTTATTGAGTAAATTCAATAAATAGTGTTTTATAGGAAATCTGTGTTTTGTATTCTTCTAGTCTTCAGGTTACACAGGTCTCTTTGAGTGCATAGAGGTTCTGTGAGTGCATAGCGTTTGTCTGTGGTTCTCACTCTCTCTCTGCATCTCGTTGTGTTCAATAGTGTCTTTTAGCAGTTAGTGTTTCTGGAAGTTTTTTCAGTTACATTGCTGTTAATCAAATTCGGTCTGGCGGAGTTTTCTTGTGTGAAACTTTTCTTGAGCCTCCACATGTCAGCCATTTTTTCGATATGTTCGTGAGATGTTGAGCTCAGAACAAGATAACGCTATCGACTGTTCTTCCTTATTATATTTTAGCCGACATTTTCCCCAGGAGGTCCATTTTGCCACCTCGTTATCTGGGTTCTCATCTTCCCTTAACGTCGCACCTGCATTAGATACGCATCTTCCAGTCGAGACCCGTATGTATTGATTAACCAGTCAATAGAATTCTCTCCTCAATCTGAACTATAGATTCTTTGCTCTTATTTCCTATTCCACCCAGTTTCTTGTCCACTGTCCTTTCTCTTCTTCTCTATTTTTTTTCATTAATTTCGTTTCATTGATTTCTTCCTTTTTCCAGATATGGCTACCCATAGGTTTCCACTCCAGCGTCTACCCTACGATCTCCGTTCAGAGGTTCTGAATACTATGGACTACCATGAGATGTGAGTTTATTTCCTTTAAAGGTGGGGGGACATGAAAAAAATAATGTTCTCGAAATTTCGTTCAAAGATGCCCCTCGAGGAGTTGAACTTGTGAGGGCGATGGTTGAGGGTGCGGCGCCTCTACCGACTGAGCTACGCGGGCAAAGAGAAAGCGCACGCCCGATTGCATACATAAAGGCGAGGATGACAGCTGTACGCAGAGTGACATTAAGCGTTGTACACCGTGACGGTAGAATGCATACTCTAGCTACAAAAAAACCACGAAAAATCTCCTGTCCCCCCACCTTTAAAGTTTTCTATCCTTCACATATCATTTCAGATTCGCCCTCTCTTTCGCTTCAAAAAAGACACTGTCGATGGTTCGAGATCTTCGTGTAAAGCCTAAATGGGCTCGAGTAAATCTGACTAGTTCCAATCAATTAGCAGTTTTCTTTGATTGCTGTTTTTACTTTTTCGAGCTAGAAAGGCCCGGAAGCAAAGATCAGATATTGACCCTGAACGACCATCCTGCTAGTGTTGAGATAATGGGTCGTGGCTATCGTTTCGGACGCGATACTCTACGTTTAACTTGGTCGAATCAAGGAAGGACAATTGGAGAATGGATTCAGCAATTTTTCTCGATTCATCAGCGCGATACACGTTATGGAGTCAGCTTTGAATCTCAAAAAATGAAATTTGATGTGCAATCTCTCCGAAATACTTTTCCAAAGCTCAAACAGATCTCTATACATTGCTCCCAAGAAGAACCAAACGAGAATGGCATTTCGTCATCTGAAAATGTTCTCAGAGCTTTTATGCCAGATATTGTGGAGCTCCTATTGTATAGATTGCCTCGAAATCTTTCAATTGGAAGTATCGGAATGGCGAATTTAAATTTTTTGGAGTTATATCTTAATTCTTCTCTATTCGATCTAAAATTGGAGGATCTTCTATCATTGAATGTTAGACATTGTATTATCAACATCAATGAATTCTCGCTGCGTGAGATAAATCGCTTCTTCAAGCTGTGGATCAGAGGATTCAATTCGAGATTGGGAGATTTGCACATTTATGGATACTCGAAAGCCATCCCAGATTGGAATTTATTGTTGAAGGGATTGAAAGCAGTTGAGAAAGAAGAGAAAGAAGAGATAGTGGAAGACGAAGATGAAGAAGAATCCGAAGACGAGGATGAAGCAGGTGAAGCTGGAGCACAAGAAGTAAGAGTTGAAGCAGCAGATGCCGAAAGGAATCCAGAAGATGAACCGCAAGAAGAAGTACTTGACGAAGCGGAAGCAGTAGCAGAAGAGGAGCCAGATGAAGTAGCCGAAGACTCAGAAGAAGATGAAGATGACGAAGAGTATGAAGAGGAAGAAGAAGATGAGGAAGGTATTGAAGATGAAGAATCAGAATTAGAAGAATATGAAGATGAAGAGGAGCCGAAAGAAGCCCAGATTGCGCCAGTAGCAGCAGTCCCAAGAGTTGTACCAGTACCAAGAATAGCGCCAGTAGTTCCAGTAGCTCCGGTTGCACAAGAAGAAGAGGTGCCATTAGGAAAAAGAGCCGGAGCCGAAAATGCAGATGTCGTGAAGAAGTACATAATTCGAAATTGTCTTGGTGTTTGCGCTGAAATCGAAACTGAATTCAACATCACTTACTACGTAACTGTTAGTGTTAAGTTAACTGTTAAAAAGTGATTCTTGATTCTTAAATCATATGTCATTTTTATTTAAAAGTTTGACTTGAATAAAGTTTTGCAAAGATTTTTTTCTTGTTTTTGAATTAGATTCAACACTCTTATTTTCTAAGTTCCTGGCTCATTTGAATATTTTGGAATTAATGGAATTGGGATTTGATGTCTTAAAACCATTGAAAATCGTGTTTCTCAAGTTTCTGGTACAGTTTTTTTACTATCAGACTAACAAGAAAAGAGATTTATGATTGAGAAATAAGAACTGATCCGGCTGGGGAACGGTTTTGGCCTAATTCCATTAAAAGATTATGGGACTCATTAGCACGATTGATCGACACGGGAAGACTGGAACGACACTCCTGTGGCGTAGCCGAATCGTAATAGCTCCGTTCAAATTCTCGTTTGCCCGAGTTTCATGCCATTTTTCCAGTTTGGCAACGTTTTGTTCTGAACAACTTCAAACAGCATGGTGAGGTGTATGTCTCGTGTTTTCTCTCATTCTCTTTCACATACCATTTGTTTCCATACACTTTAAGACACGTTCTCTGTAGAACTCAACTTCAAGCCTATTGTCCACTGTACAGAAAAATTCAAACTTGTTTTTATGTATTGATGTTATATACCATGAAAGTTTGAACACTTTTAAGATGAAAAATGTATATTTGGTTTGGACCCACACAGTACGGTCCAAACGGTGACCAACTTTGGTCAAAAAATGAAAAATTTTCTCGATGGAGATAATGAGTAAATTCAACTCAGAATGGATTATTCTTGCTATTTTGAACATTTTTTGTGTTGAAACAAAAATTCTAACTCGGTTCCTTCCAGCTGAAAATTTTCATTTTCGATCCGATTTTGAAAAAAATTTCTGAAAATCCGTCGTCGTGAAAAATTTTAACGTTACTGCAAAAAAGATAATATGACAAGGGAGTTACTTGAGGGAGCAGTTTTTTTTTCTATTATACAGTTTCACAGATTTAATTTTTTGGAATTTTAAAAGGATATATTTTCGAGTTTTGGGTAAAGTTTTTTCTGGGTCTGGAAGTAGAAAAAACATTTTTTAGGAAACTCAAATCTAACTCATGACCAGTGTGTCCTTTTGACACGAACTTTTTCAAATTTGTATTTCTAGTCCACCATTTCAAAATTGCTTAAAAATGCCCTAACATGACTTTGGTGTGTTTTCTAGGTCATTTTGAAGTGGTGAACTAGAAAACCAAATTTGCAAAAGTTAGGCCACCACTTTAAAATGGCAAAATAAACGAGGAAACAATGTCAGCAACGACAAAAAACTGAAAAAAAGTCTCAAACGACACTCCGAAATTCCGCATCGCGTATTGTTTAGAACATTTCTCAAGAAATTGCGATTCATTCCTAGAAAAAATTTTTTCGAGAAATTTTTGTCGAAATTTCCTCGAAAATTTCTCGAAAAAGGCACTTTTCGAGAATTTTTTTTGAAAAGACACACTGCTCATGACCCAAAATCTAGGTCATCTTTAACAGTTGATGAAATCTAGGTCATGACCCAAAAATTTCCCTCTTCCTTTATGTTAATACTCTTTCCGAGGTCAATGGGTCATCGAGAGTCATGGGTTTCTATTTGCAAGTATATTTTTTCAAATCTAGAATTTATTGGAGTTACACAGATTTCAAAATTTGAGAATTCAAGGGTTATTTCATCGTGATGAAAAAACTTATTTGTGGAGGATGCAAAAAAACCGCTTTGCAAAAAAGTTTTGAAGCTGTCTCTGAAGTTCGTCTGCTTACTTTATGACAATCAGGGGCAGAAGGGCGCCTCGATCATCCAATTTGGCCTTTCTCTTCACAAGGGAACCACAACACCTCGTCACCTCAGATTTCGATGAAAATTCCAGGATAGGTAAAGGATGGACTATCTAGACACCCCTCAAAATTTTAGAACACGCTCGCCAGTTTCAGCCGAGTTATGTCAGTTTCAGTACCAAAAGTCGCTTTTTCAATGCAAAAATAGCGATTTTCAAAGGCGATTTTCTCAATTTCTAGGACGTTTTAGAACATGAAATTTTTTGTGTTATGCTTAGAATTCATTGGATTTTCATAATTTTAAGGTTTTCTCAAAAAAAATTTCAAAAATTTTGAGGATGTTGTCCACCACTTGAGTTTGAGATTTTATCCAACTTTTGTCTTTTGTGAAAATTTCTTTAAAAAAGTGTGGATTATCATTTTAAAAAATTATGATAAAATTGATAGATAACCTATTTCTTGATCAAATTTTTTTCATTATCAAATCATAGTCTCTGTGGACAGCAAAACAACGCTTCAAAACTGCTACTTTCCAGTGGTAGTGGACTTCAAAGTTTTTTTTTTAATTTTTGAAAATTTTTTTTGTTCAAATTTGAATAAATCTCATCTCGGTGTCAAAAAACACTTGGAGCATATACTAGAAGGATCCTACAAAGTCACAAAAATGGAGAAAAAAGAAAAAAAGAATAACCACAAGAGGGTGAAAACCCACAAAGATCCATGGCGCACACCACATCCCCGATACCACGCTGCTGACATTTCCAACTGAGTCGAAAGACGGTTACATGTTAGGGCCTCTCTCAGCTTCTCTCGTAGAGAATTTGGAGAGGGAACGTGTGGTAAAGCATGCAAATCCACTGAAGTCAGTACTAAAACTTTGGACTGAAATATCTCGGCTGAAACTGGCGAGCGTGTTCTAAAATTTTCAGGGGTGTCTAAATAGGCTTTCCTTGACATATCCTGAAATTTTCATCAAAATCTGAGGTGACGAGGTGTTGTGGTTCCCTTGTCAGAGAAACATGTGTCCCTCACTATCAGTTCATGTGTTCTCTCTATGATAATTTGTAAAGTAAACAGAAAGTAAGAAGATAGATTTTTAGAGACTGTACAAAATGTGAGAGGCGCAGAGGGAAGCCCATAGCTAACGAACGACCAAGAGGCCCTACGTCTCTTACCCATATATCGCGTCACTTTCTGCTTATGACGACTTGACTGAATAGACGTCTAAATTTTTGAAAGAAACAGGCCATGACACAGCAGATGGTGTGAGTTAGAGAGTGCAGGCGAGACAGAATGAGTCATTTTTTCGTCCCCTCTGGCTGCTACAAGCACAATCATTCATTTTCTCTTTTGACGACTTGACTGAATAGACGTCTAAATTGTTTCGGGAATTCTCCAAAAATCCTGTTAATGAATGGATTTTGGAGAGTTCCCTTTTTGATTTTTTTGCTTCTATCTCTTTATTTTTCTAGTTATTCCTACTAATCGCGAAAATTAATGGATTGTTTAAATATTCTGAAATTTTTAAAATTAAATGTGAGTTTAATTTCAAAATATCAAAATAAAGAAAAATTATCCTAAATTCTTTAAAACCCGTTTATATATTTGTGAAAAAATCCAAAAACATGGGAAAAAAAGTTTGAAAATCTCAAGAAGTCAAAGTTCATGAAGAAAATGCTGAAATGCATAAAAATGAACCGAAAATCGTTGGAGTAACCGAAAATTTCGAAAATTTTGAAAACTTAAAAAATCGGGACCTTCCAGAAAGACATTTTGAATTCTTGAGAATCGGAATATCCCAAAATTCCTTCTTACCAGCCAATTATAATTTTTCAGCGCTTGACTGTCTGCATGACTCTCTTCACGGACTACATGATCATATTGGCTTTCATCATTCACATCGACGCCTTCTACACAACTTTCCTCGGCTTTTAGAAGACATTTTTTTTTGTAATTCATTTATTTATTTCATCGAATAAAAGTGTGACATCATAAATATTGGTGCATGTGTCATTGACTATCATGGATAGGAGTGCAGAGTGCAGATTGAAAAAAGAGGGAGAGAGAGAAAGAGGGTCGAGATGAGGAAAAGGACCAAAAACGGTCAGATGCATTAGGCGTTCTCAGCAATTTATCATTGACTACAAAATTTCATTGACTACTTTTTGTATCAGTGACTACAGTAGTATCATTGACTACAAAGTTTCATTGACTACATTTTGCTTCATTTGTATCATTGACTACATGCGCTTAAGCTAATGAACCTTTCTCTCTGAAATTCTGAGCCTTTAGTTTCAGTACCAATAATCGCTTTCTCGGTGTAAAATCGAAACAAGACGTTTCAGCCTAAGCCTATAATTTAAACAAAAAAACTGAAAATTCCAGTCAAAAAAGAAATGAAACTCGCGAAAATCAACGAAACTTCCACAGTTCTCGTTGAAATTTTTTTTCAAAATTTTCAGTTTTTTTGTTTAAATTATAGGCTTAGGCTGAAACATCTTGTTTCGATTCAGTACTGAGAAAGCGATTATTGGTACTGAAACTGAAATTTCAAATTTCAGAGAGAAAGTATCATTCGCATATGTAGTCAATGATACAAATGGAACAAAATACAGTCAATGAAACTTTGCAGTCAATGATACTTTGTAGTCAATGAGACTTTGTAGTCAATGATAAATATAGTCAATGATAATTTGCCGGCGTTCTCTTTATCGACTTGTTGGTCGAAGTAGTCAAGAAGGTCGTATTCGGAATCGCCTATTCGAAATATAAAAATATTCAGGAAAATTAAAAAAACCAAAACTTCGAAATCCATTCAGTAGGTTTTCTTAAAGTTTTGATTCGGGATACTAGAATGTTAAGGAAAATCAATAAATTTAGACGTTCATTCTGCTAGATCGTCAGGAAAGAAAAGTGTATAGTCGTCGAGTAAAAGGAAAGGTCTCTAATTTTATGCTCTTCGTCTCTCTAGGGTTATTACTCTCTGAGTTATTAATGTGTCACCTTTGTGGGACTGTTGGTATCAGAGAGTGAGAGACGCAGAGAAATACTTTCACACAGTCGTGGCTTAGTTAATTTCAGGTTTTGCAAATTATTATTTCAAATTGAATTAGTTAGGGTCCACTGCAGTATAGATTCTGGATATCCAGATAACAAGGAGTCTGAAAACTTTGGGATTTCAAAATTCGCTGAAAATTCCATTTGCTGTACGCAGAAGGAATGATGTACTTAGCTTGAAACCTTTTCTTGTTAGTCTGGTAGTAACGTAAAAATCGAACCAGATATTTGAGAACCGATTTTCAGTTTCGTACCAAATTCAAACTAGAAAACATAACAAAAACTTTATTCCGGTCCAAAAAAATATGTCAATAATCACTTTTTAACAGTGAATTTAACACTGGCAGTTACATAGAAATTTATATTGAATTCAGTCTCGATTTCAGCGCAAACGCCAAGACAATTTCGAATTATGTACTTCTTCACGACATCTGCATTTTCGGCTCCTTCTCTTTCTTCCAATGGTATTTCTTCTGGTTCTTCTTCGTCTTGCTCTCTTCGTGCTCTTCTTGCTACTGGTGCTATATGTGCTTCTTCCATTTCATCTTCATCTTCTTCATCTTCATCTAGTTCTGGTTCTTCATCTTCATATTCTTCGTCTTCCTTTTCTTCTACTTCTTCAACTGGTCCTTCTTCATCTTGGGCATCTTTTGGCTCCTCTACTGCTTTCTCTTCTTCAAGTCTTTCTTCTTGTGCGTCATCTGCTCCATCTGCTTCATCTTCTCCTTCCGATTCTTCTTCATCTTCGTCGTCTGCCTCCTCTTTTTCTACTAAAAAGTCACTATCAATGTTTAAGGCTCTTCGTTTACCGGTTCATCATGTGAAACTGGCTTTTCCAAATGAGATAGCTGTGCTCTTTGATCGAGTTTACTACAGTTTCTATCTGAAGAGGCACGGAAACGACGATCAGATAAGGAGTCTGAATGATCTTCCGGCGAGCGTTGACATACGTGCTACAAGTCTCGGAAACATAGGTCGACTAACTTGGTCAAATCAAGGGAAGACCATTGGAGAATGGATTCATCATTTTTGCTCAATTTCTAAACCCGAGACTCGTTATCAAGTCAGTATTGAAACTGAAAGAATGAGATTTGAGATACACTCCCTTCGGAATACTTTTCCAAAGCTCAGGAAGATCACTATATACTGTTCTCAAGATGAATCAAACGAAAACTGCCTTTCGTCATCTGAAACATGTTTGAGAGCTTTTCTACCGAATCTTGAAAGTCTCGTATTGTATGGATTGCCTCCTAATCTGCCAATTGGAATTATTGGAATGACGAATTTGAAAGCTTTGGAGCTATATCATGATCATTCTCCGCTCGAACTGAAAACGGAGGATTTTCTATCATTGAATGTTAGAAGTTGCATCATAAAAGTCAATGAATTCTCGCTTCGGGACTTGAACCGTTTCTTTAAGAAGTGGATAAAAGGATCCAATCCAAGATTGAAAGATTTGCACATTTATGGATATTTGTCGGGATTTCCAGATTGGAAATTATTGTTGAAGGGATTGAAAGCAGTTGAGAAAGATGAAGAAGAAGAGGTAGCAGAAGATGAATCAGATGAATCAGAGGAAGAAGTATCAGAAGAAGAGGAAGAAGCGGGTGAAGCAGATGAACCACAAGTAGAAAAAGAGGAGGCAGACGACGAAGATGAAGAAGAATCGGAAGGAGAAGATGAAGCAGATGGAGCAGATGACGCACAAGAAGAAAGACTTGAAGAAGAGAAAGCAGTAGAGGAGCCAAAAGATGCCCAAGATGAAGAAGGACCAGTTGAAGAAGTAGAAGAAAAGGAAGACGAAGAATATGAAGATGAAGAACCAGAACTAGATGAAGATGAAGAAGATGAAGATGAAATGGAAGAAGCACATATAGCACCAGTAGCAAGAAGAGCACGAAGAGAGCAAGACGAAGAAGAACCAGAAGAAATACCATTGGAAGAAAGAGAAGGAGCCGAAAATGCAGATGTCGTGAAGAAGTACATAATTCGAAATTGTCTTGGCGTTTGCGCTGAAATCGAGACTGAATTCAATATAAATTTCTATGTAACTGCCAGTGTTAAATTCACTGTTAAAAAGTGATTATTGACATATTTTTTTGGACCGGAATAAAGTTTTTGTTATGTTTTCTAGTTTGAATTTGGTACGAAACTGAAAATCGGTTCTCAAATATCTGGTTCGATTTTTACGTTACTACCAGACTAACAAGAAAAGGTTTCAAGCTAAGTACATCATTCCTTCTGCGTACAGCAAATGGAATTTTCAGCGAATTTTGAAATCCCAAAGTTTTCAGACTCCTTGTTATCTGGATATCCAGAATCTATACTGCAGTGGACCCTAACTAATTCAATTTGAAATAATAATTTGCAAAACCTGAAATTAACTAAGCCACGACTGTGTGAAAGTATTTCTCTGCGTCTCTCACTCTCTGATATTAGGTTGGCGGGAAAGTCTTTGTCACTTGTTTGTTTAATCACTGTTCTCGTATATGGAGGCTGTGTATGATATCGACTCTAGTGAATAACAAGGTGATAAGAACCTTCCATATAAACAAGTCCCCATCTCCTTCCCTGCTCCTCATCTGTAATTGAAACGATATGTTTGTTCCCACTGCTATTCACATCAGACATGTTTTGATTTACCTCTTCCTATCTCACACCACGATGAAGGATTCGGAATCTTTCTTGAAGAATGTGTACAACACACATGCCCCTCACTACAATACTATTCGCAATTGGTTCCATCGTTTCGAAAAAGATGACTTCTCGCTCGATGAAAAGGATCGCTCTGGGAGACCCCGTGAGTTGGATTTGGACAAGCTGAAGCACGCATTGCAATCGGATCCATTTCAATCTAGCCGTGAACTAGCTGTCACATTCGGAGTTCACCATAGCACAGTCCTTGAAGGTTTGAAGTCTCTTGGAATGAGAAAACTTTTTGGTCGATTCATACGTCATCACCTGACTCAAGCCAACCTTGACCGCCGAGTCGACGATTCGATTACTCTTCTCACTCTCCACGCGGGCGATCGATGGCTGGACCGGCTAATAACCGGAGATGAGAAGTGGGTCTTCTACGATAATCACCACAGGAAATCCCAGTGGGTTGGAGAAGGAGAGAGCCCACAGGATGTCCCCAAACCCGACCTTCATCCGAAAAAAGTTATGCTCTCTGTGTGGTGGGGAGTGGACGGCCCCATCTACTGGGAACTTCTGCCCGAGGGCAAAACAATAACTGGAGACTCTACACTACTCAACTACGAAACCTCAAGAAAGCAGTCGACCGTTCGGCCCTGAAAGACAAGAAAGTGTACTATCAACATGATAACGCTCGCCCACATGTTTCGAAACAAGTGAAGCAGGAGCTGATGGGATATGGATGGAATGTTCTCCCTCACCCCCGTATTCTCCTGATCTTGCTCCTTCCGACTATTGGTTATTTGGCGATATGACACGTGCCTTCGAAGGAAGAAGCTTCAATTCCCGTGGAGCGGTCGAAGCGGCACTCAAACAATACTTTGCCTCACGCCCGGCTGGATTCTACCGCAATGGAATCCATAAATTGAGGGAACGTTGGAGACATGTTGTTGATAATGATGGACAATATAATTAATTATTCGGTTATTTTTTCTTTGAGAAATAAACTATTGAAAAAGTGACAAAGACTTTCCCGCCAACCTAATACCAACAGTCCCACAAAGGTGACACATTAATAACTCAGAGAGTAATAACCCTAGAGAGACGAAGAGCATAAAATTGAGAGACCTTTCCTTTTACTCGACGACTATACACTTTTCTTTCCTGACGATCTAGCAGAATGAACGTCTAAATTTATTGATTTTCCTTAACATTCTAGTATCCCGAATCAAAACTTTAAGAAAACCTACTGAATGGATTTCGAAGTTTTGGTTTTTTTAATTTTCCTGAATATTTTTATATTTCGAATAGGCGATTCCGAATACGACCTTCTTGACTACTTCGACCAACAAGTCGATAAAGAGAACGCCGGCAAATTATCATTGACTATATTTATCATTGACTACAAAGTCTCATTGACTACAAAGTATCATTGACTGCAAAGTTTCATTGACTGTATTTTGTTCCATTTGTATCATTCTTGGTGTTTTCGCTGAAATCGAAACTGAATTCGACAGAAGTTCCTACGTAAATGTTGGTGTTAAATTTACTGTTAATTCTCTGAGAATTTTATTAAAAATGAGACCTGAATAAAGTTTCAATGTTTTCCTATAGCAAAGAATACCTCAAAAACCTCATGAATTTTTCAACTTGTCTGCAACTTATATATTAGGTTGTTCGAAAAGTAATGCGCGTTTAGTGCGAACTACTTCGACCTCCAGCTATCTTAGTTCTTTAAGAGAGGAATTGAATCTTTGAGCATGTGTTGCTAGCAAATAGTTGATGATGATGGAGAAAAGCCCACTGATTAATCTTTTCTTATTTCAGTTTTACATGAAGTTAAATTGAATCAAAAACGCGCATTACTTTTCGAACAACCTGTTAGTATACTAAACCAAAATAGAGCTTTTTTTTGTAATTGCCAACTTTTTCGCCAAACTCCACTTTGATGAGATATGCCGTTTGTAACCTTTAGGACTAACTCTTGCGGGTTCTTAGCTTTTTTTTCCATTTTCTTTCCCCGGTTCTCATCACTATTTATTTACCAAATAAACGAATACATATAACCAAAAAGGCGCCGAAAATGCCAAGAATGAGATATATCTTTTCGTTGGGTTTGTACGAGAAAGTTCGTTTAAAAACTCAAGGTCTCATTAAGTTTAATACACTCTGACAATTTCAGACAAATCGAAAAATTCTGAACTACTTTGTCTGGGTACTTTAGAAGGTTGACTAGTTTTTATTGAAAAGACAAACTTTTGTATTTTTCCGGGGTAATGTAAGATACTGTAAGTCATGTTTTGGTGTTTTTGAAACTGGATGGTTTTATTTGGATTTTTCTTATCGCTGGTCTTGTTGCTGCCCTGGATTTCCGATTTTTTCGAATTTCTGGCTCTGAACTTTCAGATTTAAAGAAAATTTTAAACATGAAACCTTCTTCAGGATTTAGCTGAAATGAATAAAAGTAGACTATGATTTTTTGTAATTCCAATTCAAAAAGTTTAAATTATCTGTATAATTAGTCGTCTACTTTTTCTGTTTCCTCGAAGTCTCTCTCAGTTATCCTAATTGTTTACCACTTTTTACTCGTGGCTCACCAAAGCCCTGGAGGAATTGAGATCACAGAGTGTACCAGGATATTACTAACTTTTTTTATTCAAAAAAACAAAAAGAGACCACACCCATGTTCTAAAGATCTAAAACCAATATAAGATTTGCCCAGAGTAACCGAAGACTCTCTTCGGCGAAGAGTAACATAATAAATATCACAGCTTAAAAGAAGATTATTGTTATCATTCTTAAAAGATTCAATAGATTGCAGTGAATTGATCTGCCATTGTCGATTTTCCATATCCTTCTGGAACCTCTACGTATCTATTGGTCCACACGACCATTTGGAAGATTCCAGTTTCAGTGTACCCGACGCTTGCCAACAATCCATCTGAGGATCTTTCGATGTCCATGGCTTCCGAAAAGTCTACAGCAAGACCCTTCCACAGTGGAAAGGACTTGGAACGGACGAATTGGTTCCATGGCCGAGTTCGGATTCCCGAGAAGAGGTTTTGGGTGTCCTTCTCCACTTTTGCAATTGTAAGACTCTCCAAATTTGCTGGAAGCTGGTTGGAAACCCACGACTTGATGAGTCTGTTCATATCGGACGTCTTCAGCTTTGCAGTTGTAATCTCCACGTTCTTAGCCTCCATATTGATCAGCTCCTCTACCTTCAACTTGTTCCCCTTCTCAATGTAGGCTGCTGGATACTGAAGTGGAAATGCAGCATGATCATCGGGGAGTGGAACAGCAAAGTGGAGAGATTTGAGTCCGGTGAACTTCTCCTTAATGAAGTTCAATTCTCCTTTGGTGACTGGATCCTTATCAATTGTCAATCGCGAGGCGGTGAGGGCAATCGGAAAGTTTGCAACTTGACGAATATCTCTCGCTGAATCCCGGTGGACGATGCTGTCAATAGACACGTTGAGGAGTAGATCAAATAAGCGAGTGAGAAGGACATCCATTCCGTTGAGATTAGCGTCATGGGTAAACGTGCCACGAACGTCGGTTTCCTCGCTGAAATTAATTTTTTAGATTGCTGAAATTAATGGGGTAAGAGCAGCAAGTTTTATAATTTTGCTTGAATAACCCATAGTCATGGTAAATGCATTAAACATAGCCCAAGTTAGTTTCCTTCTTCCCTTTTTTTAAATCCAAGTTCAAACTTCCATAGCAAAAAAAATTTTCGCTGACATTCTTCATGTTTTACGACCCACTTCAAGTCACAAGGAACAACACAAAAAAACTCTTTGGTTGACATGGATACTATTTTTTTAGGAAAAGGCTAATGTGGTCCCGTCAACTACCAACAACCACTCTAATCGGGCTAGACACATACATTCAACAAGATACTAAAGGGAAGAAGAGCCCGTTATGTAATATGGCGGTAGGGAAAGAATTGGTCTGGTCTATCCAATGATCGGAAATACCCTGAAGTTACTCTGAAGTTAGTGGAGACCAAATAATTTATCTGGGGTTACTGTAGCTACGAGTTGGTAATCATCAAGGAGCCTGAACGCTCCTATAGAATGCCACCCTTTGATCTCCATTATCTCGGCTCCTGTGAGAAGTATCAAAACCTGTTCAACTAATAAAATGTTGGTGATATTATGATAAGCATTTTTATAGTTCTAGCTTTTATAGAAACCGGGATAATTAAGCTCAAAGTTGACGGTGGCGAGCATCATACTAGATCGCTAACTAGATTCTTTCAGCCTAAATTTTAGCTCATTTTAAAGGTCATTTTATGATTTTAGTATCATATTAAAGCTCATAATTTAGGCTTTAAGGAGGGATATAGCAACTTATGCAGTTTACTTACACAAGTTTATTAAACTGTTCCTTATTCTCAACGCCCACAACTTCAATGGTGTACATGCGTCCAGCGAAGACGACGAGAAGCCGGTTGCTCTTTGCTTCAAACACCATCTCAATCTCCGACGCTACAAAGCCAGCCTTCTTGATGCATTTCTTGCCAGCCTTGTTAGCATCCGCCATTTGGAAGCTGAAACAAGTCTACATCATTGTAAACCGAGATTTTCTGAATTCCCAAAAAAAAGTAGAAGATTTTGTTGTGCAGGTCTAAATAAAAATTCAAACTGCAAAAATTATTATGATTGTGAGCGATATATTTCCTTTAGATGAATTTTCGCTGGAAAGTTGTCAACTACAATATTGAAGTCGTAGTTTAGTTTAGTATACTTTGAAATTTTCAAATAAATGAGATGAGTTTCAGTTGCTTTTGTAGGGTTTCAAAGTTGGTTGTTTTCTGAATGCTTCCAGGTCTTTGCCTGCCCGACAAACCCTGGATTAGCGCTACGCGGCACAGCCGGAGTTTAGCCGGTTTTTGGTTTTTAACTTTGTTCATAGATAAGATACAGTTTTCCGAATAGCATCGTTTTGTAGATCTTGAGTTTTTCTATCATGTCTATTTTAGTTGGTTCAAAAATATTCATTATGAAAGAAACTATTGCATTCATATAACTTACACATAGAAGAGATCAGCGGGGCGCTGGATGCTAAGCTTTCCCTGAGATGAGATGCACCAGAGCTTGGGCATTTTTTCAGAATAGTCAAAAAATAATCCAAAAAAGAGACTTTTGAAAGAATAAAGTCTTTTCTTGGAATTGGGCGGGAGAGCACATCTGATAGTCATGGTTACCAGCCAAGTCACATGCGTCAGAGAAGTGCGGTCCCTGGGGTACCGTATACCCTCGTCAACAACTATGTCTGTGTCATGAAGATATATTTTGAGCTGGCGATATTAGTGGGAAGGTAAATTAGAGCTATTCTGAGCATTCTGGGAGAGATGAATGACGCGTTATTAGGTTATTAGTTGAGTAGCGTGACGCGGGATCTAAAATTGGTTGTAAGAGGTAGGCGAGGATACTTTTGGAGTTTAGAGATCAGCATTAATTTACTGTTAGTCATGAACCATTGAAAAGATAAAAATACCTTCTGGAATGATAGTTTTTGAATAAAATTGATTCGAACCTCACTTAATATCATCTGAAAGAGAAGCATAAGAAACGAAAAACGCCAACTTTAAAACCCTACAAAAGCAACTGAAAACTTGTCATATTCCGAAATAGTTTTTCAAAGTTCCATCATTTTTATCAAGGACCAGTCTTTTTAGATCTTCAATTTTATGTCCATCATTGTCTCCTATCCTCTTGAGACCGTTCTACTCCAAAAATTCAAACACCACGGGGTTGACATCATTACCGTGATGTGATGGTAAAAGAGGACCCTGAAGAGGGACCTGTCTCCAAAATATAATTTATTTGAAGACTTTCCATTGACATCATACTTTTCCTATTTGAGAAAAGAAAACATGACGTTTAGGTGAAAGAGGCAATGTCTCTCTGGGCTCGAGGAGCCTACTTGGAAACGGGCTTGGAAACGTAAAAAATTGAATGGAAGATGTTGAAAAAAGGGATTCATTGGGAAAAAATTATTTCAAATAACAGAACATATCAACAAAAATTATGAAAAATGACAAGTTTCAATGGTGTACTAATTAGCCAGACGGTGTTTCGTCTGTTGATCCCTTTCGCCCCGTTGAGGCTCAGTATATGAAAGGGAACATGGGTTTTCACTGGGGGAAAATACCAACACAAAACCCCTGTCTCCGAGGAGACAGTTTTCTAATTTTCAATAGTTCTTTCTCACCGCTAAAAAGCTATGCGATCGCTAATTATTGTTTTTGTTCATTTGTTTCTTTTTTCTTTGATTGAGTCTTTTGCAAAAGGTTAAGTGAGAATGAATTCACCTAGCCATGAACCACCAAACATGGCGACCCTGAGGGCCTTTTAGTACTTCATTCGCATCCGACCAATCGAAAGAAAAAAGTAAATGAACAGCAATAAACAGCTCACGCAGAGAGCTTCATGGCAGTCAAAAAGTGCTAGTGAAAATTATCAAACTAATTCAAAAAGTGAGATTTCCCAAAGATCAGTTTTCAATTCGTGGATTTTTCAAACGTTGAGAGAGGTAGCGATAATGACCTAACATTGATTGATTTATAGATTCATTATTTAACGTGAATAAAAAGTTTTAAAAAAATTCAAAAAGCTTGAAATGAAAAGCTTTGACCTTCTGAAAAAGAGAAATCAAAAAGTGAGGAGCGGAGCGGCGAACAGTAAAATTAATAGGTTAAATCGCGCAGACGCGCCAGCCTGCTGTTTGAAAAAGACTGGTTAGAAGACAGAAAATTTGAGTTCTGGCCTCTTTTAGCCACAAAAATACACCTAAAAAACTCTAATACAACGCCCAAAACGTCAGATTTGAGCTCAATTATCTCGGTTCGTATAAGATGTATCCAAATTTTGTCAATTGATAAAATGTTTATCATAATATCAGCAACACTTTATTCGTTAACCTCTTCTTAATACCTTTTACAGGAAATGAGATACATGGCCTGTGTCAAGTTCAGAATTTCAATTTTTCAGGAACATGTTTTAGGTCTTCAACTTTGTTTACATCACTGTCCTCTTGAGACCGTACTACTCCAGAAATTCAAACACCACGGGGTAGACATCATTATCCATACCATGATGTGATGGGACCTGTCTGCAAAATCTAATTTATTCGAAGACTTTCCATTTGACATCATAAATTTCTCTTGAGATAAAAACATGATTGATTGGATATAGGCAATCCGTTTTTAGTGCATTGTTAAAATTTAACTTGTGTGTGAAGAATCTTCTTGGTGACCTTATCAGTTGGAGGCACGAAGTATGAATAAAAATTATTTATTCTCAACGTTTCGGCTTGATGCCATCTTCAGGAGAATAGGACAATTACCTACAAAAAGGAGAATAGAAGAAGTGTGAACCGGTGTAGGGATGAGTGAGGTAGAGGTAGAGAAAACCGTAAAAATGAAAGGCAATAATGAACCATAAAGAACTGGGATGAAAAGACAAAAATTTTGGAGACAATGAAAGGAAACGTTGAGAATAAATAATTTTTATTCATATTTCGTGCCTCCAACCGATAAGGTCACCAAGAAGATTCGTCACACACAAGTTAAAAAAACATGACGTTGAAGTGAAAAAGGCAATATCTCTCTCTGGGCTCGAGGAGCCTACTTGGAAACGGGCTTGGAAACGTGAAAAATTGAATGGAAGATGTTGAAAAAAGGGATTCATTTTAAAAAATATTTTTAAATATAAATATTCCTGAACATATCAACAAAATTTATGAAAAATGACAAGTTCCAAAAGTGTACTGATTAGCCAGGCTCTCGGCTGGCCTCTTTTAGCCCCAGAAATATACCTAAAAAACTCTAATTTAACGCCCAAAACGTCGAATTTGAGCTCAATTATCTCGGTTCCTATGGGAGACATCCAAATTTTGTCAACTGATAAAACTTTTATCATAGTATCAGCAACATTTTATTAGTTGATCGCTTCTTGATACTTTTTACAGAAATTGAGATACATGGCCTGAGAACGTGCCAAGTTCAGAATTTCAATTTTTCAGGAACATGTTTTAGATCTTCAACTTTGTTTTCACTATCCTCTTGAGACCGTTCTACTCTAGAAAAAAAACGAACACCACGGGGTTGACATGATTACCATGGACCAGAAGAGGTACCTGTCTGCAAAATCTAATTTATTCGAAGACTTTTTATTTGACATCACAATTTTTTCTTTTGAGAAAAAAAACATGACGTTTAGGTGAAAGAGGCAATGTCTCTCTGGGCTCAAAGAACCTACTTGGAAACGGGCTTGGAAACGAGACGGAATGGAAAATGTTTTCAAAAATAGGGACTTATTGAACAAATGGAAACAAAAGTTTTGGATCTCGAAATTAAATTAGTTTATTACATCATTTAATTACATCGAAAATTTAAAGTTTATAACAACACAATCGCTTTGAGCTCAATTATCTCGGCCTCCTATAAGAGATATGAAATTTTTGTAAACTAATAAAATGTTTATGATATTATGACAAACATTTTATCAATTGACAAATTTTGGATATCTCACTTAGGAACCGAGATAATCTGGGTGAAAGCAGAAGTAGAGGAATGGGTGCTCTTAGAGAGTTTACTTATACTTTGAGCTGAATTATCTCAGCTCCTATAAGAGGTATCAAAATTTTGTCAACTGCTAAATGATTTATCATAATAATCATTTATCATAATACATATTTTATCAGTTGTTAAGTTTTTGGTATCTTTAACAGGAACAGAGATATTTAAACCCTAAGTAGATGGGGGGGGGTTCTATTAGAGTGTTTACAGTAATTTAGTTTGCAGTATAAGGTAGAGGTAGAGGCTATTATTAAAGTTTCTGTTGCATTCTCGCATTCTTTGGAACCGTTGGAAATTTCTGATGCCATACATAAAATCCAACTTGACTTTTCTCCAAAGTCACAGTTGCCATTAATCCATCCTCTCGAACAATATCCAATCCTTCAGAACAATTGATAGCAGTTGGCTTCCATCCATCTTCACTGATAAAATATTTTCCTCTGCTACATGGATTCCAGGCATTCGTGGTGAGACCATCAAAGATATTCGAGATTTCCATAACCATTACATGGACTTCTTTCAAACAGGGATTTGGAGCTTTCAGCCAATGCTTGATATAAAAATTGAATTCGAACGTTGTCCAGAGAGTTTTCGGAAGCCATAGACGTTCAACTTCAAAATCTTTTATACCATTCCAATCCGAAGGTACTCGAAGAAATTTGAGTTTTCGATTATTCAATCCTTTGTAATTTTTAGGGAGTCTGTTTCTTAAAGATAAATTCTCTAGTTTCTGGAATATTCCGAAGATCAAATCTAGCTCCTCCTCGGTTACAGAATCCGGTGATACGTGGACACTTTTGGCATCTACTATTATGTTCGAGTAGTTTTTGAAATCCGACTCATAAATATTTCTGCTGAATTGAAACCTGTCGATGGAGGACTTTCGGAATAGGTCAAGGATTGATTTACAGATCTTTTCGACTTGGTTTTGGGATCTTTGGTAGTGGATCTCACATTTCAGGGGGGAAGTTTGTCTGAAAAAAAGAAACATAGAACATTTCTTTATAATTATTTCGGCCTAAAATTTAAGCATCTTGAGACCGGAAACGCGGTTCAAACGGTCGAATAGAGTGCCACCCAAACCGTCAGCTTTAAGCCCATATATCTAATTTCCTATGAGAGATATCAAAAATTGGCTAACTAACAAAATGTTTATCATAATATTAACGACATTTTATCAGTTGACTACTTTTTGTTACATCAAACAAAAATTGAAATATTTAGTGTCAAAGTTAAGAGGCCATCAGCCGAGCTCAAAGATGACTTTTCAACTTTAAGCCAATTTATCTCGATTCCTGTGAAAGGTATCAAAAATATGTAAACTGATAAAATGTTTATGATATTATGATTAACAGTTCATCAGTTGACAATTTTTGATTTCTTTCACAGGAACCGAGATAAATTGGCTAATAGTTAGTATATTATAGTTTGGGGGCCTTCTACTACAGGTTTTACAGTAGCAGACCTAAAATACTCACCTGAATTCCGGAACCATCTTTTCTGTCATTGTTTCTATTAAATTAAACGTATGCTCTTTTCCTTCAAACCAAACTATCACATCAACTGTATAATCCTTTCTAAACTCCACTTCAACTTTTTGTGTTTCAAATTTTGTCAATTTCACTGCTTTCTTCAAATCTTCTGATGACAATTCCAATAGTTTGATTCTGAAAGTTCAAACCATTTTGAAATTTTTTATTAGAATAGAATGGCTGGCCCTCCCCGGTCGTTCACATGTATGGTTTATATAATTCTACAAAGATACTAGTTTTCAAAAATTAAACTTACAAATCAAAAATATCCCACGATTTTGAAACTCTTCTGAAGACTACATGGGGAAGCGATAGAATCGGGAAGCCAGATCGCATTTTCAGAAAATTGTGCAGATAGAAAAAACAAATGAGCAATGAGAAAAAAACGAGTCTGGTTAGTATAGGCAGTTGCCTAGTTATTGATTTACAGAAGAAGAAGACGACGCTATTGACTTTCAGGTTGCTTGGAAACGCTCCTTCTCATTAGAGCGCAACTGCAAACCCCAAAATAATTATTCCCGTGGGAAATGGTAGTAATCTTGGTCAAAATAAGTATTTAGTACGAATTTGTCTGAAACTATCTGAAGAATTCTTTTTTTGTGATGATTTTTTAGAAAAAAAATCAAGTTTAAATCATACTTGCAACGGGCCGGGCCGGGCCGGGCTTTTTTCAGAATTTCCAGGGCCCGGCCCGGCCCGTCTCGGCCCGGGTTTTCAGGAACAAATTCTTCCTGTCTTTTCAAAAGATTTTTCGGAGTCAACTGAAAAAAATGGACGATTTTTCTGTCAAGTAAAGAACTTTTCAAGATAAAAGTGTCCATAAGAAATAGTTTTTTCACAAAAAAAATTGAAAAAATGTCTGAAATTTCAAAAAAAATTTCAAATTTGGAAAACCCGGACCGGGCCGAGGAACGCCGGGCCCTGATTTTGCAAGTATGGTGTAAATTCTCAGACAAAATCCCACAACGACAACTATTGTAACTTTCCAAAATCGTTGCTTTTTGTTGAAAAATTGAAAACTCTAGCATTTTAAGTTTTTTCTGATTCAACCAGTCTTTTTGCAAAGCCTCTGGCGCTTCAATTGTCAGACTGGTGCGCCTATGGCGCGAGTTTGCCGATTCGCTCCTCACTTTAAAAAAATCATAGAGATAGGAAACTTCCGTCTTGGGAAAATGGAATGACAAACAAAGAAGAAGACAGACAGTACTTCATTTATTGATTATAAGAATGATAATAAATATCAGACACATATTAAAAACAACAATGAGAGGGGGGGGGGGGGGAGAAAGGACAGTCAGCTTCTCAAATAGGCGTAACTTTGCAATGAATGAAATAGGGGAAAGGAAAGATTTCGGCTCTTTATGACAAGGGGGGTCAAGTGTGGGGGCCTATAGGTAAAAATGTGTACTAAGTTAAGATTTACCAATTTTTTCAGGTTTTCGGATGTTTCTATGAAAATTTCGTTGTTTCCACAAAAATTCATCACTCAAAAAAATTTCAGTTTAGGCCGGTTTTTTTGCATGAACAACACTACTTTTTTTTCATTTTAACTGTGTGTTTTCAAATTATTAAGCTAATATTAGATCAATTTAAGCTTAGTAACAGAAAAAATAAGATAAAATGTGCGAAAATAACATAAACTGAAATTTTCAAAGAGTTATGAAAAGTGTTCAAAGTTCGAAATTTTAATGGAAACCGTCCCAAAACTAAAAAATCGGTAAATCTCAAATTTCATCCAGAATATTTAAGACACTGTAAACTGCACAAGAAGGTTTGCATCGACCCACTCACATCTTATTTTACCGCAAACCCCACGACAATTTTTGATTTTCAACTTCGTCTTCCATGAATTTCTTTTTGTTTTCGCTTGCAATCCTTTAAGCAAGACATTCCAGCCTGGGAGGATTTCCGTGTCCCAGAAAATCGCCAATTCCTTCAACCTTTGATTAGATCCCTTCATCCACAATTTGAAAAAACGATTCAAATCACGAAGAGATATTTGATCAGTTTTTATCCAAATTGTTTCAGCATTCAATGTCGAAAGATCATGAACGTTCAGATTGTGAGGAGATCGGATAAACAAAAATTTCAAATTCGCCATTCCGATGCGTTGAAGGGAAAAATGGTCTTGGAGAGGGGCACGTTCCAAACTGACATATTGAGAATCAGATAGAAAAGCTTTCAATACATTTTGAGCTGACATGATGTCGTGCTCATTTGATTCTGCATGGCAAAAAATCAGATCAATGTTTCCAAGTACTGGAAAAACGTTTCGAAGGGTTTGAATGTCTAATTCAATCTCTCTAACATGAATAATCTTGTTTAAACAGCACTTTGGTTGAGAATACGAGCAGAGATGCTGGATCCATTCACCAACAGTCTTTTCTTGATTTGTCCAAGCTGATAATATCCCTCTAAGTCCGTCAATCTCATAATAGCTATATGATACTTTTACAGTGACAGGAAAACCATTCAAATGTGTTATCTTTTCGTCGTTTTCGGACATATTCAATTCGAACTTGATACTAATTAAGCTCAATTTCACTTCTATCTGAGGTTTTTTCTTCATTGTTATTCTAACATGTGATATTGGTAAACGAAGAGCCTTAACTATTGAGAATGCCTTCTTTGAAATGAATGAGTAAGCCATTCTGAAATCAAAAAAATTAATGCAACAAATACCTTTTTGTTTAACTCACATTTCTAGGGGGTCCGCCGTTTGTAAAACCTTTAAGCGAAGGTCATCGGGGAGACGTAGAAATTCAAATCTTTGCTCGTTCATATCTGAAAAAAGGCAATCAATAAAACGTAGTTAATGTATTAGACACGATGAAGAAAATCCAAGAAAAACAAACTGTTAGATATATAGAAAATAAGAGCATAGAGTCTATAAAGAAGATTGAGGGAGGGAACCCTATCGATTGACTCAATCAATAAATCGGGTCTAGAGTAGAAGACGCATCTAATCCAGGTACGACGTCAAGTGCGAATATGAATGAAGAGAATAACGAGGTGAGAGAAGAGATCTCCTGAGAAAAACGTTCGCAGAAGACGTGACAGTTTGTAGAGATTAAGGAAAACATTCATGTGGGGATTCGATGTGTGATTTGGCGTACAGTAATCTGTTTCTAATTAAAACCGGAGCTCTCTTGTTTGAAAAAAAACTTTTTCGCTTTTGAAAACAACTATTGAAAAATACTGCTCGAAAAAGTTTTAGTACTGAAAACAAATAGCCAATATTTAGATTCCTCTGAAAAAAAGAGATTAATTATTGCTTTAACTTATTCAGAATGATTGAAAGAATGAATAACCTTGATCACTACGAATTTAAGAACACGAAGGCACCTTAAACTTGTGTTATTTAACTATTTATTAAAAATGAAATGTATATCTTAAAAATAAGAAAACAACAAGGGGGAGTCTTCCGATGAAGCAGAAAAGAACAGAAAACAAGAAAAAGGGGGGACGATGAAGGGAATGAGGGAGTAAGAAAGATAGGGGGCAGTCAGTTTCTGAAAGGGGCGTGACTTTACAATATATAAGAGGAAAATGAAGAGATACAATGATTTCAATAAGAATGTTTGATCAAGAATTATTTTGGAACTGTAAACTCCACATGGAGAAGGTTTTGATCCCGCCACCATTCAAATCTTATTTTACCGCAAACCCCACGACAATTTTTGATTTTCAACTTCGTCTTCCATGAATTTCTTTTTGTTTTCGCTTTCAATCCTTTGAGCACGACATTCCAGTCTGGAATGAATTCCGTTTCCCAAAATATAGACAATTCCTGCAACCTTTGATTGGATCCCTTCATCCACAATTTGAAAAATCGATTCAAGTCACGAAGAGACATTTGATCTGTATCTATCCATATTCTTTCTGCATTCAATGTCGAAAGATCATGAACATTCAGATTGCGAGGAGATTGCATATTCAACCATTTCAAATTCCCCATTCCTATGTGTTGAAGGGAAAAATGGTCTTGAAAAGGGACACGTTCCAAACAGACATATTTAGAATCAGTTAGCAAAGCTTTCAAAATATTTTGAGCTGACATGACGTCGTGCTCATTTGCTTCTACATTGCTAAAAATTATAATAATGTTTCCAAGTTGCGGATAAGTATCACGAAGGGTTTGCGTGTCTAATCCAATTTCTCTGACATGAAAAACCTTGACATAACAAAGTTTGGGTTGATTAATTGAGCAGAGATGCTGAATCCATTCTCCAACGCTTTTGCCTTGATTTGTCCAAGTTGATAATATATCTTGGAATCCGTCAGTATAATGATTGCTATATAATACTTGTACACTGACGGGAAGACCATTCAAGTGCGTCATTTTTTCGTCTATTTCGTGCATGATCAACTCGAACTTGATGGTAATTAAACCCAATGACACTTCAATTTCCGGTTGTTTCTTCGTTGTTGTTTTAACATGTGATATTGGTAAACGAAGAGCCTTAACTATTGAGAATGCCTTCTTTGAAATAAATGAGTAAGCCATTCTGAAATCAAATGATTTCGATGCAACAAGTAAAAAATGTTAAAACTCACATTTCTCGGTGGTCCGTAGTTTGTAAAACCTTTAAGCGAAGATCATCGGGTAGACGATGGAAGGGAAACCTCTGGTTGGTCATATCTGAAAATTAATGTATTGGAGACGACGAGGAAGAGCCGAGAATAACAAACTGATAGAAATAGAAAACAAAAGTATAGAGGAGATGGAGGAGAGGAAACTATCGATTGACTCAATCAATAAATCGGGTCTTGAGTGAACAACGATGCAGGTACGACGTCAAGTGCCAATGGGTATATATTTAGAGTAGGGAGATGTCAAAAGATATCTCCTGGGAATAGTGTTGGCAAAAGACACACAGATTAAGGGAGAATTTATCAAGCAATTTTTGAAGATTGTTAACTTGAAATTATTTTAATTCGAAATAGCTAAAGTTTACAAAAGTTTACTTCCGACTTCCTATTTCCGGCTTCCGAGTTCACACCTCCTAACAACTCTGATACATATTAAGGAAAACCTTATCACAAGATCAGTGGAGATTTGGTATAAAGTGAAATGTTTCTGTTCAAACTTATTGTTGGATATTTGAAAGCGTTATCAGTTTGTAAGCACTGTTCAGAACATACCTATCTAAAATATGTTTTTATTAGAGGGTTTCGTTAAATACAGTGCGGTCAATATCTATACGACCCCCCCCCCCCCCTACATTTTGGGGGCACAGAAAAAGCTGGAAGAGGCATCAAAAAACGATTAACGCCATGCGATTCACAATCAAAAATAACCTCTAGAGACGACGTTTCATAATTTTAGCACTTTCCCTGAACATGTACCATCCAAAAAGCCCATTTGCAAGCGGTCAATATCTATACGACCACCTCGAAAATGTGAAATCTCAAGTATTTTATAGAGCAAAATTAGACTATTTTTGGTTGGAAACTACTAAAATAGTCTTAAAACAGCATGATTTGACAGTTTATACAAAAATTGGTTCCTCTATTCAAGTATAAGAAAAAATTATTTTCAGTCATTTTCGTCATTTTTCAGATTTTTTTCAGATTTTTGGAATAAATCTTGAATAACTTGGCTCCTGGGTAAGATTTTGAGCTGAAACTCAGAGGGTATATTTCAGAAACAAGCATGACCATGCTGCAAATGTTCAAGGCTTAAGATAAACCACTTTTCAATAAGACTACGGGAATTGTAGGGGGAGCCAAGAGGTTTAGCCTCGAAAGGCTTTTACCGAATAGTTTGTAATTATTCACAACAAAGACCATTGAATAGTTTTGGATTGTTTTCCATCAGATGTGACGACAATTTCTTGATGGTACAGTATCTGTTGGCTCTCACAATCATAATGATAATGTTCTCGGAACATGTATGATTTTGCACTCATTGCAGTATAAAGGTCGACAGAGAAAAAGAAGGACGTTGTGGTGAGGACGAGGATGAGCAAGTATTCAATCTGAAAGCAAACATTTATTTTATATTAACTTTCTTGCGTTCAAATTTAGAACTTCCGACCAAATCAAACAGTTAAATGTAGAAATTCGACTAAAACCTATTAGTTTCTAATAGTAAGAACTTTCAGAGGCTCCAAGTTAGTTATAGAAGTGTAAAAATTTGAAGCAGCAGCATTCTAAACTAAGGAACCTATGAAGAACACTTAACGAAAGATTGCCCATTAATGGAAATACGATGTAAAATCGTAAGTTCTAAATGTTTGAAGTTAACGAAACCTTTCTAAATAGTATAGCTTTTCAGATAAACTCAAATTTTTCCTTCTTCAGATAAGGTTATTTTGCCACTTCTGGTTCCAAACTTGTCGTTTGAACCAAGTCTAATTTGATCTCATATTAAGATTTCGCTCAAATCTACATATTAATTTTTTAATCAAGAACACATTTGAAGATTGAAGCAAGTTATGAGACGACAAAACATAAAAATTCAACTCACATTCCATTCAATAAAACATACTGCGAATACCACATGAATGATACCAATGACGGTAACGAATTTTACAATCTTGTAATGTGACATTTTCGCTAAATCTATCTGGAGAAAATACTTCTTAAAGTTTGATGAGAATTGCATCATGAAACAAGGCAACGAAATCATGGCGATGTGATACGATTCATAAGCAACATGAAAAATTTGACCTACAGTATCAAATATTTATTGCAAAACTTCGAAATAACTCGAAAGTTTTCTGAAAGCCTTCTTGGGCTACCTGAACTAAGAAATCTAGGCCATCGCCTAACAAATAACTGCTTTGATGAGGATGACCATTTTCGTGCATCGCACAAAGCTTCTAGGTTTCTCTTGAAAAACTCCAGCGCCTGCGGTTTGTTATGCCGTAAATACTCAAATATAATAGAATAGAACACTCTAATAGAATACTCTAATAGACCCCTCTAATTTCGAACTTTGATCAGACTTACCATTAGTTCATTTCCATTCAAAGTTAACTGTTTGGAGGGGCATCCTATTATAGTGTTGGCGGCATTTCACACTAAACACCCATTACATTTTCACCAACCTAATAGAAAACAGTTCCAGAACATACTAGAAATTTAAAGAAAAATAAACTAACGTTCCAATAATGTACACTATCTTTTGTGAGAATCGACGCGATAATCACCCAGACTGAAATGAGCATACCAACGAGCCCAATTCGAACATCTCTCATTTTCTGAACAGATTTTATGTGATCTTGAAAACGACCGACAGGCCCATAAATAGAATATGAATAAAATGTCCATGTAACACACATCAACCAAACAAGCATCGCCATCAGTCATAACGCAAATATCATTTCCAGAGTAAAAGATATATGGGGAAACGACAGAAACAAAAGGATACGCATGCCAGAATGCGATAGTTGAAGCGAAAGTGAATATGGATGTGTAGAGGAAGAAGTGTTTCAAAAAGAAATAAATTGGATTGAATGGAAGCTTCCAGAGCTCACTGAGCATATATTTTGCACGTTTTTGAGTGAAGACTATCATGTTCCTGGTGAGCTCGAGTGTTCAGAAAATTTTGGGTTTTACGCGATCTAGATGAGGCAGAAATCAATAACCTCATTGATTTCTCAAGTGCCTGCGTCCCCTAGAGACGCACTGGGACACATCGATTCCATCATCGCGTTTGGTTATCTTCTGAGATTCGGTTCTCGTGGGAAAAGTAAAAATCAAAACACACGGATTTTGGCTGATCTCTTTCCGCGAGAAAAAGTTCCGGAAATGTATTTTCAGCTCATAATTTTAGCGTTTTTCAATGGCGCCGTCCAATTTCTTTACCTAGATGCACATTTTCTGATTTTGAGGTTTCTCAGTCATTCATTTGAACTTTAACAACATCTGCAAATTTTTTCCTGGTTAGTGCACCACGAGAGCTCGAGTGTTTCCCATCAGTCAACTTTCTATTCTCAAATTGAAACATTGCACCTTTCAAGTTAATTCTCTTAGCCTCAATTCTCTCTCTCTCTAATTCTCTCTTACTAGGGAACTATCTGAACATGATTCCGAGTTACAACACATGACCTATATCATTAGAA